TATGTAATTTGACACAATTTTGTTTAGAACACAATGTTTGAATACATCTTGTTATTTATATTGCCTCAATGTTAAAAAAAAAAAAAGTTGTTTACAATATTGTTTTGAAAGTAATTTAAAAAATAAACTTTAATGCTGTATCATTTATATTTGAAAAATATAAATATATAGGTGTTCAAACATTTACAGATGTCATTTAAACTATTTTCATTTTTGTACACTGTAATAAGAGATCGAATTTCTTTATCAATAGCTTCTTTCCATTCTTTTTGCCTAATTGCTTGATTGTAAGAAATGGGATCTTCACCATTTGTAAACAATCAATATACTGAATATAGTTCATAATCTTCTTGATACTTTGGTGGTTTGATTATTCGACCCGATCTTGTAGTTACACTTTCTTCTTTGTCTGATTGTTCCGATGTTTGTGGGGTTTCTTCCTCATCTTGAAATTCAGTTATTATTCTTTTAGGTTCTGTTTGGTCTGAGATGATTTCCTTATCAGATTTAGTTAATGTTTCATCAAATATTACATCTGTTGAGATCATTACTTTATCAGTTTCCGGATCCCAGATGCGATATCCGCTTCCACTGTATCCAACCATGATTGTTGATTTTGCTCTAGCATCTAGTTTTCTTGGTTTGGGTAGAATAAGTCTCCAAGCTCTTGAGCCAAAAACCTTAAGTTTGGATAGGTCATTTTGTTTATATACCATATGCTAGCCGGAGGTATTCCTTTGTTCGCACTTGTTGGACTTCTGTTTAATTTGTATGCTGAGCAGTAAATGGCTTCTCCCCAGAGATATTTTGGTAGATTTGTTTCTGCCAACTTTGTTCTCACTTTATCAATCAATGTTCGGTTCATTCTTTCAGAAGTGCCATTTTGCTGTGGTGTGTAAGGTGAGGTATATTCTATTTGAATTCCTTTTGTTCTGCAAAACTGCTTGAAGTTTCCAGATGAAAATTCCTTACCATTATCTATTCTAATTTTTCTTGTTAAGTTGAGTTTTTATCAACTTGATAAAATCAATTATGTTTTGTTCGGCTTCACTTTTTGATTTGAGAAGTCTCACTACTACAAAGTGTGAGTAGTCATCTATTAGTACCTGAAAATATATTTCTCCATCATATGTTGGTGGATCAATTGGTCCTGATAAGTCTGAATGAATCAGTTCTCCAATTTCCTTAGTTGTTTTCCAGGTTTTCTCAAATGATCTTCTTGTGCTTTTTCCTTTGATACAGGTTTCACATTTCTCTTGTGTAGCCCTAATTTCTTTAAACTGTATCTATTCAGATGTCCCAAAACTGTATCTATTCAGATGTCCCAATCTTCTGTGCCACAATGTGTCATCGGTTTTGACTGCATGCGCTGTAACACTTTCAGGGTTACTGTCTATTTCTATTTTAAGTGAGTACAAGTTTCTATAATTATTACACTTAAAATCATGGTTTCTTGTAATTATAATTACTTCATCTTGTTTAAATATCACTTGGTGGCCCTGTTGTGTAATTTTTCCTACTGACAATAAGTTCTGTTTAATACCATCAACTATTAGTCCATGGATTGCTATTGGGATATTATTGATCTTTACATTTAAAGTTTTGGGGGTCTGTGGAAGGCTGGTTAAACCGTTCGGTTTACGACCACTACGACCCGGGTTCGATCCCCGCATTGGACACTTTTTTCTGTTTAAAGAAAAAAAAAATGCTCCAATAGCCCCCCGATTCTTGCAAAAGTCCAACCCCACCAGCGAGTGCAAGTAACCAAACGGGGCTCTGGCACATTTGTAAGTGCAAACTCGAACTGCTTTCACATGTGTAGACATGTGGTGCGCTTACAGTAAAAAAAGCAGTCGCTAACTACCCACCATGATTATCATGGCCTGTACCACGTGTACTAGGGATAAGCAAAAAAAAAAAAAAAAACATTTAAAGTTTCACTTTTATTAGCTGACATCTTTTCGCCATTAGCGATATGAATTTCAACCTTATGTTCTAAAATCTTCACATCTGTCATATATTTTTCTAATTCACTTTTGATCAGGTTCTGTGTTGCTCCTGAATGAATGATCATTTTCATAGCAATCTATAGCATTCATTGCTACAAATGATAGTTTGTCATCCATCTGATAGGCTTGTTGTCTAGGTTGACTCTCTCTTTGTCTTTCATTACTCTCTTTTTGTGTTTGATTCTTTTCTCTTTTGAAAAATTTCTTTTTATTTCTACATTCTGTAGCCTTGTGACCTTTCTTGCCACAATTATAACATGTAAATGTGAATGATCCAAAGGTCATTCCTAGGTTCCCCTTGTTTATTTTTCCTTTTGAGTTCTTCATCCAGCAATCTTGCCTCTTAACAAATTCCATTTTGATTTCAGTATTTATTGTTTCTATTGCTGTGATTACATTTTCATACTCTTCATTCAATGACAATAACAGATGACATATTTTGTCAGATTCATCCATTTTGGAACCTATATTATCCAATTCACGAATTATAGAATCAAATTTAAGAAAATGGTCCTCTAATTTTTCATTATGTTTGCATTTTAAAGTCAACAACTTTCTTTTTAGTGTTAGTTTTGTAAACACGCTTTTTCTTTCAAATATATTTTCAAGCGCTTTCATCATTTCTTTAGCTGTTTTTGCATCTTTAATTATGTCTAGATGTTTATCAGTTAAACATTGAACAAGCGTAGATTTTGCCTTTGCATCCTTAATTGCAAATAACTCACGTTCTTTTTCATCGACAAAATCATTAATTTCCTTTTCTAATGTTAGATGTATTTGTTTTTCTTCTAACAATAGTTTAACTCTAAATTTCCAGCTGTTTGAATTTGTACCAGTCAAAATTGGCAAATTAGAATTAATTACGCTCATTTAAAAATATATTCAAAGTTGTACTTACTAAACACGTTCTTGATATTTCTTTGTTATTATTTAAACTTCAGTCTCATAATCTGTTATTTTTTAGTTTATTTAACATCATACAAAAATTAAGATAATATCTTATTTTATTATCTTTACCAAGATTACAAACATTAATTAGAGAATATATGACAACTAACAAAATGTAAACATTAGGGCTATACACATTCCTTTCTTCTGTACTGCCAGGGTTGCTGAAACAACATTTATTTTAACATTTCATTAATAAACTTTTTTTTTGTAACCTTTCATACAAATATATAATTACTACAGATCAACGTTTACCACTAGCAAATCAATCTTAAACAAGTTTCTTTACATGGGTAGGGAAAGATAAACATGGCAAGATGTCTTCCTACCTTCCATAATAACAAAAATTAAATGGCTACTTCCTAATCAGTAATTTAGGTGAGCAATAGTTTACCCAGAAATTATTTGAAAAAGTTTTTTTTTTTTTTTTTCCTTATCCCTAGTACACGTGGTACAGGCCATGATAATCATGGTGGGTAGTTAGCGACTGCTTTTACTGTAAGTGCACCGCATGTCTACACATGTGAAAAGCAGTTCGACTTTGCAATTACTAATGCCAGAGCCCCGTTTGGTTACTTGCACTCGCTGGTGGGGTTGGACTTTTGCAAGAATCGGGGGCCATTGGAGCATTTTTTTTCTTTAAACAGAAAAAAGTGTCCAATGCGGGAATCGAACCCGGGTCCTAGTGGTCGAAAACCAAACGGTTTAACCAGCCTTCCACCGACCCCCCATTTGAAAAAGTAAAAATTAATATTAATTAATAATAATAACACTGATAGACAAAACTTAAGGAAGTTGTACCTTATAGCATATATATATCGGGATTCAGAAAATAACTCTGAGAGATACAGTGATATATATCACTGTGCATCAAATATATCTCAGAGTTATTGTCTGAATCCCGATATATATATGCTATAGGGTACAACTTCCTTAAGTTTTGTCTATCACAGTGTTATTAATTAAGCTTGCAAATTTAAATAAAAAAGAAACTTTTTACCTGATATTAATTTTTTTACTTTTTCAAAAAATCAGTAATTTAAACAATAGAAAGGACCAATGTTCTACCATTTATTTATTTCGTCTCAATTTACAGGTGTTACATTCAAGTCACAGCTCACGAGTCACCTTGTCCTGGCTATTTACACATGACGTGGAGTAGAGGTGGTCCCCCTAGACCTTGCAGGAGGGCAGCTGTTGGGCGATGAGCTCTTGACTAAGTGTCAGGGCCGGGTCGTCGGAATCGGGGATTTATGATCTACCACTATATATATATGGCATATTATGATGCATTAACACACTATCTGTTATGTAAATTTGAGACTATTATAGACGCATATGATTATTTAAAAAATTAAACAATTTATACTGCCCTTACTTCAATGGAAAAATTAATGGGAGAGCCTGGCTCATCAGTGGTGAACGCTCACATTTTTAAAAATGCAATATAACAGCGGCATGGTAGATTAAACTGCCGAAACCGCTGGGAGGGTTCACCAATGAAGTGTGGACACAGAAGATAGATCAATTATAGGATGGAATTTCTAAACCTCTTTGTGGTCCTTAGACCTTTACAATCTGTGAAACTGATTTCCCTGACCTCTATGCTTTGGTTTAAATAACAAATAAAACAAGGTAATAAGACCAAATCCAAATAAATAAATAGTGTGTGACGTTTCGGTAACAGCGTTGTTACCATCTTCAGACAAAAGTACTGAATGAGAAATTTTACCACAGCATGTTTTAAATAGTTACTGTTATCTCAAGTGTGTAAACAAGATAACAGATAAGAAGAAGATAGTTATCTGAGAATAGCTATTTATTTATTTGGATTTGGTCTTATTACCTTGTGTTTATAATCTATAATCCAAATTGTGCCTGATCAATTACCAACAAACAAACTGGCCATTAAAATAACTATTATATAACCCAATTTGTATATTTTTCTTGAATAAAAATAGAAACACAGGATAATCAGATTAATAGTTAATAGTTTTTTATTTATCCCTAGTACACGTGGTACAAGTCATGATTATCATGGTGGGGTTGGTTGAAGGATGGTCTAAACAGTTGGCTTTCGACCGCTACGACCTGGGTTCGATTCCCACATTGAGCACTTTTTTTTTTTTTCTGATAAAAAAAAAAAAATGCTCCAATGGCCCCCGATTCTTGTAAAAGTCCAGCCCCACCAGTGAGTGCAAGTAACCAAACGGGGCTCTGGTACATTTGTAAGTGCAAAGTTGAACTGCTTTTCACGTGTGTAGACATGTGGTGCACTTACAGTAAAAGCAGTCGCTACCTACCATGATTTTCATGGCCTGTACTACCTGTACTAGGGATAAGTAAAAAAAAAAAAAAACAATAACACATTTGTACTATTTTTTTCACATTGTGTCACAGCTCACGTAATTCTGGCCTTAACTACCCGTTTCATGATTTTTCAGGATGCTTGAATGACCAATTTTTTGTTCTTTGAGGTACAGCTTGCACCACGCTGATGAGGGCCAACAGCCTGAAACACATCCGTGGTTAGCTTTTCTTGATTAATCAAGAATGGGTATTTGTCCAATTCTGGAATAATTAAAAATCAACGAGAATAGTTGATATTTATTCTGATAGATGGCGCAAGCCATCAGAAACTTTCAGTTGCACGATAAGGAGATGCCTTTTTTAAAAGTTAATAAATAGTTTTTTTTTATTTTGCTTATCCCTAGTATACGTGGTACAGGCATGATAATCATGGTGGGTAAAAGTAGACGACTGCTTTTACTGTAAGTGCACCACATGTCTACACATGTGAAAAGCAGTTCGATTTTGCACTTACTAATGTTTGGTCACTTGCGCTCGCTTTTGGGGTTGGACTTTTGCAAGAATCGGGGGCCTTCTGTAACAAATATCATACACTATTCATTTGGATTTGGTCTCATTATCCTGTGTTTCTAATCTTATTCAAGAAAAATATACGATTTGGGATATGTAGTAGTTATTTTTTTAATAGCCAGTAAAGTTTTTTTGTTATTTAAGACAATTCTACAAAACTGAAAGCATAGAACAAATGACCCACTACATCTCTGAATACACTATTGTTAACAAGGAGGAACGGAATAAGATCTTAAAGAACATTATCCAAGTCTACGTGAACCCATTTCAGCTAATCAGAATAATGTCTGAGAAAAAAATATATAGCGATAGAATTATTTAACTTTCATAAAGTGTTAGAGAACAAGGTAATCTCTAAGAACTAAAATTACAGAACAATTTCCTTCCATAGTTAATTTGTATAGTTATGTTGCATACTTTGATTTCCTTTTTCCTTCTCTCCTTTGTTTATATATGTCGTAAACCCAGGTAAGACAACAAGTGAGTTGGAAGCAGTCGGGGTTGAGTGGCAAGGCGTGCAGAGTGGGAAGTCCGCACGGGACAGTAAGGACAAAGTTTGGGATCAAAAGACGCTCTCCTAGTACGTCTCACGTGGCACCAGGACCAGGGGAAAGTTGAGGATTAACTGAGGAAAGCTCGGCGTCCTGCATGAAGCCGCGGGGGCAGAGAGGAGCCAAAACGGCGGCCACGAGGGCCACCGTGAGACCTAGCACTGAGTGGGCCTCTCCGAAAATATCCACTGTAACCTGACTAACTGTCAACATCCGGACCAATGCCCCTTCTTTCTCCCTCTCTGGATCCCCCGGGTGTCCGGTGGCAAGATGGTGTCACTTTGAGACGACTAGAAAAGACGTCATACTTTATTACTTACATATCACATTGTTTAAATTATGATATATATATATATATATTTTTCCCTTTCTTCATGAAAATGATGTATGGCGAGTCCTTACAGGACGGAAATGTCCTAATAAAGCTGTTGTTGTTGCATTTAAAACAAAGCATAGAGGTTGGTGAAATAGTTTAACAGCTTGTACGGGTCTGAGGAACAAAGAGGTTTAGAAATGCTGTCCTATCTACCTTCTGTGTCTAGACTTCTGTATAATTTACACACTTATATTATAGCCAATGTCCTCCATTACTTTTCTCCAAATTTTCAAACTTGTAATATCTATAAATATATTAACACAAAGCAATAACGCGCCATCTATACATATAAAATAAAAGGACCCAAGTATGGACAGTAGAAGTTCGTTTTATGTATAAAAGAAACATTCGCGCTTTTGGGTCCTTTTTTTTTTATCTATAAATATATATATATATTTTTTTACTTATCCTTTTAGTCTAAATTAGACAAGATCTTGGAGGTCGTGCTCATAAAGAAGCTCGAGAACTCTTCTTGGTTCTCTGTACAGGGATCCTTTGTCCTTTCCAATACAATTTAGTATATGTTGGGGAGTGGGGCCTCTTTGGTTTTGCACCTAGTGCACATGAGGAAGCTTTTGGTTCCCTCTTTATAGACTAGAGGGCACAGGTGACCAGATTTCCATCTGGCCAACTGTGTCGATTCCCTTCTGTTTAGTTGGAGGGTCTGTTTATCGGGGTTTTCTATTTGGTACCAAGAAAGGTGGAACCTATCTCTATGGTTCCTTATCAGTTGTAGTTTTATACTAAAATAAATATAAAATATAATAATTCTCTAAGATAAAAAAAAAAAAGGAAATAAGAAATGGTATCCAAGGATTGTTCCATTGTTGTAGTTGAGATTTGACTGGTGTCAGAGATGGATGTTCTTAGGCGTGTTTTTTCTAGGCTGTGCCTAGCTTGTTTCTTTGCTGTAGTTCTGTCAGGCTGCTTCTTGGTAGTGTACCCTCTCTTGTGTTTACCTGTAGCATTTTTTAACGCTGTTGTATCCGTAGTATCTTTGGTTTGGCCTTGTGCCATTTTTTATTTCAGATACTCGGATTATATTGGGTATCCACGTTTTATTTGCAAGATTGTTTTATTTTGCTTTGCCAGGCTAAGGGACCTTTGAGGGATTAAGGGAATAGGGAAACATTGGCATTTTTTAATCAAAATTCTTTTTCCATTGGCATTTTCGTTTCAAAATTTTCTTATCAGGTCCCTAAGCCCGGCAATACAGAACGAGACAATGGTGCAATATAAAACGTGGCATATTCCAATATAATTCTGATTGCTGGAATAGAGAATGGTACAGGATCTGACCCTAGGTACTACTAATACAGCAGAGTTAACTAATGTTGCAGTGAGCATAATTGTTGGGTACACTACCATTAAGTAACTTGGCAGAACTACAGCCTTGAAATGAGTTAGACATGGTCTAGAAAAACCGTCTTTGGGCATTCCATCTCTTTCACTGGTCCGTCTCGACACAGTCCGGATGGTCCCCTCCCTGATGCCAGGTCTCATCCTTGGGTCCCTTGAAGTCCTCTGATCAACTGAAGTCCTGCCTGCTGAAAGCCAACCTTCAAATCTCCTGCAGGGAATCCCAAGAAGAAATTGTTCTAATGATGAAGAATAACTTCCTGATTGTTTACCTATTACCCCGGATAAACAAGCCTCTTGGAATAAAGTTCATCCCTTGATATCGGTGAACCTCCAGCTGAAGACTTCTTACATCCAGTCTGTTGACATCCACAAGATATCTCTTGGATTTAAAATGGAATTTCTTGAACCAAAACTCTGAGCCCCAAATCATCTCTCTATTGTCATAAGGAAATAGAAACCCCTGCTCCTCTCTCTTATCCTGACATCTTACAAGCTGACTTCAATGGGACCATCCTAAGATACTGGAAATGAAAAATTTTCCTCTTCAATACCTTCCCTATCTCAAAATGTACCTGCCATCTTTCTTCCACAAGCTGGCTTCAACAGGACCGACCCGAGATACTCTGGCAATGGCCTCCTACAATCCTCTTCAATACCATCCTTCTCTCTAATCATATACCTGGCATCTTACAAGCTGACTTCAATGGGACCAATAACCTGAGATACTGGATACAACCAATTCTCCTTTCAATCCTCTTCAATATCTTCACTCTCTCAAAATGTAACTGGGCTTCCCACAAGCTGGCTTCAAAAGGACCAATCTGAGATACCCAAAATGGCTAATTCCCTCTTCAATACCCTACCTCTCTCTGACCATATACCTGGCATCTTTCTTCTACAATGCTGGCTACAAAGGGACCACCAACCTGAGATACTGGAAATGACCATCTTCAATCCTCTTCAATACCTTCCCTTTCTCTCACCATATACCTGGCATCCTTCAAGCTGGCCACAAAGGGACCAACAACCTGAGATACTGGAAATGACCATCTTCTATATCTTCCCTCTCTCGACTGATCATCTGTATGTCAAAGGCAAAATAAAATCAATTATTGTAATAAGTTTTCTATTAAATCTCCATTACAACTATTTTCACCCAGAGTTGGTTAGTTCTGTAAGGCAACAAAAGGATTTGAATAGACATACTCTTAATCTTACAGTTGCAAAGTAATAAAACTAAATCTAAATAAATAGTGTGTGACGTTTCAGTAACAATTTTGTTACCATAATGAAATAAACTTTTCTTATATAAACCACTAAACTTTTTTATTTTTACAGAAAAAGAAGATCAAGCATTAAAGTCCCCTTTAATACAATTAATAAAAAAAAAAAAAAAACCTATATCTCAAAATAATTCTTTTATATATCGTATCGTATATGGCGTTCAGCCAACCGAAATATTGGCAAATAAATCTTTTATTCAATTCAATATATGTCTTTTTATTATCTAATATTCTATATACAGTTACGAGCATCATGCGTCATCTCTGTCACCGTTTGCTTTTTCTTTGGAATGGCGCTCTCCTATTGGTTGGCTACGATCACATGGCTACGATGGCGCCGCCACTACGCGAGACACTTTGTTTTTGACTTTGCCCCCCCCACTCGCTTTTTGTTTTTTGTAACTATTGTGTTGGAGGGGGTCGCTCCTTAAATAAATGCATTTATTAATAACTAAATGGAATCCTCTCTTTCTTTTTCCCAGTAAGAGACGCCTACGGAAGCCAACAGTACATAGACAGATAAAGCACATAGGCTATAGTTATTAACTAATATATGCATTTATTTAAGGCGCCAATTTATAATTGTAACAAATAGTATTTGAATCAAAACATTCAATCGGGTAAAACACGGACGTTGCCCGGGTCATTCGGCTAGTATATAATA